GATGGCTGAAGTTTGCCTATCCCTGCTATAGGGTGTACCAAACATAAATCGTAATTTGGATGACCATTTCATTTTGCTATTGAAAAGGTTGAGCACCACTAACTTGGGGAATGAGAAATAAAATTGCTTGGGTGTATTAAATGATTTGGGCAGTTTTAAGCATTTCTTAAACCATCATTAGATTTAGGATCCTTATTTTGTATTTACAAAATAAATACAAAAATAAATATGCTCTCTAAGCCTCGTATTCAGTGCTCTTGCAATGCAGCTTACACCCTGGACAGTGCAACAACCTTCTAACAATTGAAGTGTTACAGGTAATACAAAATGTTATTAGAAATTGTTAGCCTGTGACTAAAGTTTGAAAATCCATTTGCAGATAGATTGACGCTACAGGAACAGTATCACCGTGACAGGAACATGGTTTTGCAAAGTTTTGTTTTTATAGTACAATCCTTTTGTGACACATTCTGTTCCTGTTAATGACATATTTATACCAGAATATTTGGATGTCAGAACTTGATGCTTACACAGGTTGACAGAAGGAGGTTAGGCTGTGGAAGAGTTGTCACTTACTGTGAACTTTGAAGTGCTGTTGAACCTATCACAATTGACTCTTCTGCATGCTATTATCACTGCCATAGTAACATACAAGACAGCCAATACAATTCCCCTTCTTAAGATTATTGCACCGATTACAAAACATTTATGACAAAAGATATAGGACTTTGTGGAAAGGGTGGCGCTTAATGGGAGTGTGCTCTCACATACTTGAAACTTTTGGCAAGTGCTTTGTTAGGGTAAAGTGGACCATTACCCAGATCTTTTAAATAACAACAAACACACCTTTAGAAATGTCTAGTAATGACAATCTACAAACACACACTTCTAGATAATTGCCGTCTTTTGTATTCTTTGCATACATTATTTCTCTTTTCTTCCCCAGTCTTCTGACAGTGGCCATGTTTACTAAGGGCAGGTTACTAGCTCTCCTTTGACTTCCTGGCTTTCTGGCACATGTGACTAGACATATGACTAGGACATGTGACCATGCACATCATCTCAGAGGAGAAAAATGCCTTTCCCTGAGATCTCCTGAGATTACAGATGAGATTTCCCAGCAATGCTCTGCTGAGGACAAGGCAATCCCATTGTGTATTGCTTTGGCAAAAAATTTGCCATTTTCAAAGCAGGAAGTGAATGCTCAGTGTAAGTATTTCAAAATCACAGAATTTTACACCTGACATGTCTATGTTATTATTAATCATCATACATAGAGGCTGCGTTCACACCTGACCGTTTTGTAGGGCGTTCTACGCTCGACGAACGCTCTACAAAACGGTCAAAAATATAAATTGCATTGTAGTCAATGCCCTCGTTCCCACCTCGCCGTATTTCCGCCCGTCCCTGACGCCCTACAAAACGGCCCACGCCTGAAAAGGTCCCGGGACTACTTTGGGCCGTTTTGTAGGGCGTTTTCCATTTGGATACTGGCAAGTAGCCTTTGGAATCGCGCGACGGTCGCGCGACTTTTTTACCTCGAATCGCGGTTAAAAAAACGCGTGACGGTCGCGCGACAGACGCGCATATTACAATACGCCTAGGTGTGAATGGGGCCAGAGGGATTCATTGGTAGAATTAGATTTTGAGTGTAAAGACCCGCTTTAAACTGATCAAAGGTTACAAATGCAAAGTATTTTTAACAAACAGAAAACAGAATGATGAGATTTCATTCATAGTCACAAAAACTATTTTAGATCTGTTAATGAAGGCTTGATCATTTTGACACAAAACCTCAAGAGGAATAATTAAAGCACAGATGCAGTAAGTATCTACTTTGTCCCCATCATATATTTCTGTATGATTAACATTTTTGTGAAATTGTGTAATCATAAAGTGAAATGTATGCACAGTGTATCGGACAGGTACATTTACATTAAATCAGCCTTAGGACTTTGTTTTGAATGGTAACCACTAAACAGAATAGAGGTATACTGGAATAGAGAAAACTTTTAAACATGACCTTTCCCAAAAACATGAAGCCCCATAACAGGTAGAAAATTTGAGCAGTTTACGCTGTGTACCCCTTTGAACCAGAACAGTTTTAGGATTTGAGCCCCTAAGTATTTATTGTTTAGCCCCTTCCTGTTATTACATGAAGGTTTAAGCATCAAAAAGAGGATTTCCATACTCCTTAGAAATACCGTCTAAAGTATATCTTAAGCCTAAATTTTGATAGAGCAGGGAATGGTTAAACCTCTTATCAGGTTTTTCAGGTTTTATTCCTTTATTTTCACCTAGTGATACTGACAGTAACTACTACGTTGTCTCAATGTCCTGTATGGTGAAGTAGTGTTGTTTAGGCAGAACTCAAGGCAAATCATATTTTAACCCTTGCAGTGGAGCTACCACTGCACTTCAAGGGTTAAGAGCTAGTTTTGTCTAAGGAGCTAAAATAACAAAATTTATACTCACCCAAACCACAATTCTGCCTTGCTCTTAGACCAGTCCCTTCAGCCTTGCTCCCCCTCCACTTCGGCGTTCTAAGGTCCTGTGACTCATCATGCTCTATAGAACATGATGACTCTCAGGACCCCGTCTCAGTGCGGGGTTAGCCCCACTGCAAGGTGTGGCAGTGCATGGCAATGCCATGGTGTAGTATGGCAACTTGGGCGCCCAAGACTCTCAGCCAGAGGGGCTGAGAGGTTCCACCTATGTGAATACCTTTTGGAGAGGAGGAACTGGCTGTTCAATTCCTTCCAGGTTTTTCAGACTATAGTGGGATGGGATATGCAGTCCTGGGGACAGGTGGCTCAGAGCAGCCTTATTAGGAAGCCAGCCCAGTGTTCTAGAAGAGAGTTGTGGGTGTGCAAGAGGCACACGACGAATGGCAGACTCTGCTGCGTGCGTGAGCACAAGGGACACAGCCAGGAAGGCTGGAGAGGTCCAGAGGGTTGGTGACCCTGAGATACCTGTCGGGGAGACAGAGAGAGACAGTGACCCACGAGGGGTGAATACTAACAGGCCTTGAGCTGAGGAAAGCTGCTGAGGACTGTATTCCCAGGGAAAGTCCTGGGACTATCGCACTGGGAGTGTGTGGGACAGCCAGACGTCAGCGAGACCCAAACCATATTGTTGTGATGTAAGTCCAATGAACTGTTCTTTTTCGTTTATCATGGACTGTTGACCTTTTTGATGAATAAAGACTGTCCCTTTATTTGACAGTCGGCTTCAGGAGTGGTCACTTAGCGCTTACCATTGTGCTATATTCCCCGAACTATCACAAAGGGTTAAAATTCGATTTGCCCGTAGTGCTGCTTTAACCTAGGATAGGAAATGTGTTAGGACTACAGAAAACCCCTCTTCTTTTCTTTTTCTGCATAATGGGTGTTCTGTAGTCCACATAGAAAACTGGGAACAATGCTAACTGATAATCAGCAGGGACAGACTGTGCTGGAAGTTTAGCTTACTATTGCTGGCAGGATCAACAGGTTTTACTTCCCACATATTAACCATATATAACAAAACATTTAATGGGTTATTTCTAACTTCAAAAGTGAGCAAATAGAGAAGTTCAATGTTAGGATGTACAGACATTTTAACACATTTCACGTTAAAAGAAATTTGCTCCACATTTACAGTCGTTCAAATATTTCGTCTGAGACTGACGGTATCCAGGCTGAAAACAGCACAAGCAATTTCTGTATCATCCAATGCTGCTTTACACAACCCTCAGTTTAATGTATGGAAAGAATAAACCATTTTTTTGGGGTGGGTTTACCTATATGATTGCACACTCACAGTATGAAGTCTGAAAAGTTGGTTTACCACCATCTAGTGGTTAAAAATTAAAATGCATGACAAAGTGCAAACATTTCAGGTGCAAAATATGCAGCATTTTACAGAATGTTAATAAATGCCAAACCATCTGTGTGCCTATGAGGACAGAAAATTGAATGTAACAAATAAAGTTATTTTATTCTATTTGATTTAAAATGACCTATTTTTATATTGCTGGCATCGTTTTGATATATGCTTGTATAACAGTGATAAAATGCATTGAAATAATTCACCTATATGCAGTATCGTTTGTACAGAAAAAAACAAATCTTTTTGTAAGGGGAGTAGTTATTTTAGTGATTGAAAGGTCTTGAAAAAATAGTCTTGAGGATCTTATTCCTGTTTAAAGGGTAAAGGTGGACACAAATTCAGGGTTTGTTTCAGATTTGATCTACCAGATCAAACCAGTTTGCCAACATAATACATTTACATTATATCCACTCACGTAGACCTTCACACTCTACAGTTATTAATACATTTGGTCAGTCTGCATCGGTTCTGTATGTGCAGCATTGATTTACACAAACTGGTATTTTGTCTTGAGATGGATACAAGAGAGCTGAGTGAATTAAAGCTGATGTTTTTTTGTTTCTTTGTGTTTTATTGTGAAGAACAGTACAGTGCATGAAAAAAAACCAGACCACCTCATTTGACATTCTAACATTATCCGGGTTGTGAAACTGGAAAGTGGCATGGCTCTGGTGTCAGATATATGATATGTTAGCTGGTGATCCCACCCACTGGTGTTGATTTAAAACTAAAATTTAGGTTCATATAAATGTAATTTTCTTCACTCCGTCTGTGTCACTAAACAGAACATTTACAGGGTTATTGACAAAGGGGTGAAGAGTTTGGAGAAGGCAGGAGAAGTGAACAATCTAGGACAAAATAGCTGATTTGAAAAATTCTCCAATTCTCACTTTCCAGTTCAGCTATGTTGTCCTAGATTGTTCACTTCTCCTGTCTTCTCCAAACTCTTTACCATTTTGTAAATAACCCTGTTAGTTTACTTTGCAACTGAAACCCCTCAGTCTCTGTTGACTTAAGCTAAATAGCTAATGTTCATGTTGACTTACTCAAGCTAAACCGCTAATGTTTGTGATTTTAAAAATGATAATCCTAATCATTTTGAATTCCACAAAACTGTTTCTGCATTACAGAATAACAGACTCAATGGGACCCACAGAAACATCCATTGCTCCAAGACAGAGACCAAAGGCATTTGCTGGCACAGCTGCAACAAAGGTGCTAAATATCCAAAGTTCTGTAACTCCAGTCAAGATGGCAGCGCAGAGTCCTCCAAATCAAAGCTCCAATGGTAAAAACAATTCCTGTAATAGAAGCCTAGAAAGTTGCAGTATTTGTGTGACTGATTTTATGTGACTAAACCTGTGCATATGTTTAGCATGTTATTATGATTTGTGTGCATGATGAAATGTTTAAAGTGCTCTGACTAGTGGAAAAGGAAGAAAACTCTTGAAAGTATGGAGTGAAGGCATTTAGAAGTGTCTAAACATACTTTAAGCAGCCTACCAAATGTCATACAAAGCTTTGATTTTTCCAGGTAGTGCTGAAGCTTGATGCTGAGCCTTGCCCCCACACATAGGTCAGTCACTATTTTAGGCAGCCTTACTGCCCAATAGGAATTTGCAGGAGACTGTAAGGGACAGACAGCTTTTGGCACAAGAACTGCCCTGAGATTTGGCTGTGAAAGGAAAGTTTGGAATGCTTATGCAGGCACTTCTTGGGGGGGGGGAGGGAGCTGACAGTCTCTTTAAGCATCATACGATTGTTGTCTTTTTAAGAAAACCATTTGCACAATGTTGTGTAAATGTAATAAAGAAATATTGTATTCCTTTTTAGCATCAACAGACACAGCAGCAAGACCTGATAATGGACCTGAAGTACTTATGGTTCAGGACTGTAACCAGCAGACCCCACAGCAGCACAGAGTTTTACAGCAGCTGCAGCCAGGTGACTGGAGGCTACAGCAGCTCCATCAGTTACAGCAACAGCAGCTGATCCAGGAAGCCTATATGCAGCAGGTAGTTATTTCTTGTGTGCAAGTGGCTTACTATCAAAGATCTGCAAGGATGAACCTCTTTGCAAAATGATCCTGTGTGATGAGTTTAATGACATTTGCTGTCAATCACTGGACTCTTCTCCACACGCACAGGAACTTGTCTGCAGACAAAATAATGTTGTTGTTATAGCAGGTGCAGCATCATAATATTATCTCATACCTGCAATGGCTTAATCTTGCAACTGAAGCAGCAACTTAATAATATGCTCATGGTTTTTACTGTTAGTCTTTTACTTGACAGTTTGAACATGCTCATTAGGATTAAGAAAAATGAAAAGCTGTTTACCAAAACAATATTATATTGCTACTATCAATTTCCTATTGGATGGCGAGAGAAGCCTTTGAGTAAAAAGGATTTTTACTTTTTCAGCTCTATTGTAAAGATCCAGCACTGTGAGGATCCTCTGATCTCTACCTTCTGCGGCAGCTGCTATGTATGCCTGTAAGAATGATCCCACTCACTGTTGTGCAGCAATTGCTATTGGCAATTCATCCAAAATATTGGGTTTGTTAGCTCTTGCTCTATGGCAGGATTTATCTTCCTATTGTATTGTCTGTAATGAAAATGAACCCCCTTGTAATATCTGCAGAATGTTAGTAGTCATGCAGACTCAAGTTAACAGACCTCATCAGCAGAGTCCAAGAAAGAGCTACAAAAAGCAGAATATTTAAATTATTTGCATCTATTTAAAAGTGGAAATATTGTTTGGAAAGGTAAAAGGTAATGCCCACATAAAAAAGCAGGGAGAATATATACAGTATATTGGTTTTGTGAGCCGATTAATTGTGTAATGTGGACTTTTACTAAAAAGTCTGTTCTGTTTTGTGTAGTATCAACAGGCATTTCAGCAGCAAATTCTTCAGCAACAATATTTAATGCAGTCTCTATACCAGCAACAACACCTTCCGCCTCAGTATGCAGCCATGGTAAGAACTAAAGACAAACTCTATACTCAACGTTGGTCACCTTAGTATTGACTCATACATCTAACATAAGTAAATACTGTATGTACAGAGCCAACATATGTCTTCTTTTGTGTGCATAATAAACATATTTTGCACCTTCCTTCAAAGTGGTAATTACATTGTGTAAATCTATTGTTAAAAATCCCAGTTAATTGTTTTTTTGTTTTTTTTTTAACTCCAAGTTGTAACATGGTGCAGCTGTGTTCCAGTGCTCATTTTTTAGAAAGTGTAATTGAAATGTCAAGATTTTTTTGTTGTAATTTCTTACTTAGAAAAAATGTTTTTTTTAATAGAGTTTGCTGTTAGAATAGAAATTGCTTATTGCTGTAGCTACCACGTGGTACAATAAGGGATTTGATCTACCGAGTGTAATCTTCTGTGAACATGTGGCATAGCTACCATAGACGTAACTGATCACTTACAGAACAATTGCATCATTATAGTCAAAGTGGAACTATAGTGTTTTCATGTTTCTAAGAAATACACAAAAAAAATAATGAATGTAGATAACCTTATCTGTGTGTATTAAGGCATTAAAAAAACACTTGTCTGTGTATGCATAAATGGGGGTGTACTCAGCTCTTTATAATACAGTACAGTTTTATTATGAGTGTAGTTGGTCATAAATGGAACTTGTTACAAAGCCAAACACCTGTGTGAATAGATATTTGTCAGGTGTCATTTGCTGCTTTGCTTCATATGCTGCATGTTAGTAATGCTAAACATATTCACAGAGTCACTGCAAGCATGTGACAATGAGAAGTTTTTTTGTGGGAACCTAACGAGAAAGGTGTTTTACTTTATGACAAACTATCTTTAGTTCTTGGTTTGGTCACAGGTCTATTGTAACCACAAAATGTGTCAAATATATTGACACATACTAAATACACATTAAGGGGAATTTATCACAACTGAAGCAGGCAGAATCTGGAGCAGTTGCTCATGGCAACCAATCAGCATCTCTCTTCAGTTTGTTCAGTCAAGCTTTTAAATTGAAAGAGAGAAGCTGAATGGTTGCAGTGCACAGCTGCTCCAGATTCCAGATTTTGTCTGCTCCAGTTTTGATACATTCCCCTCACTGTTATATATATATATATATATATATATATA